TTACATGTGGTATCATAGTAGAATATGCGAAAAAATTCCTTACACTGAGGCCAATCTAGAGTTAGGAAAATCTTAGCATATAGGAAATTTCTTCTATAAAACCTTATTTGGAAATTTTTTTGAAATCCCTACTGATTGTCTTCCTTTTCATTTTGTAGGAAAGGACATGGGGGAGACCATCAATAGATAAAACTAAGGCCCATGACACATCGACTAGGGCTGAGTTCAACGAGCTATTTCGAGCCATTCAGGGCTTAACAGTAGCTGCTGTGCATAATTAGGCCAATAATTGCAACCTCCTCCTCCTCTTGAGTGTCGTCCCCTTCACCGTCCTCTCTCCCAGCATATCGTAGAATTTAAAAGACTGAATCGTCCACACTTCGACAACGGTCCTGATCTCATGGTCGCCAAATCTTGGACCCAAGAAATGGAGAAGCTCTTCACAGTTTTGGATGTGACAGAAGAGCAGAAGGTTTCCTTAGCTACTTTTATGTTTACTGGTGAAGCAACCCACTAGTGGAGAGTAAAGAAGGATTTATTGCCGACTCCCACCACTTATGAAATATTTATGGACGCCTTCTATGAAAACTTCTTCCCAACTTATGTACGAGATAAGAAGGAATAGGAGTTTATAGAACTCTGATGAGGAAATCTGATAGTTAGCCAGTATGCAGTTAAGTTTATTCAATTATCTAAGTTTGCTCCATTATTGGTGTCCACTGAAGCTCGGAAGGCCCAAAAATTCTTGAAGGGTCTTCGCCCAGATATCTTTGATCGAGTCATCATGTCTAAGCCCAGTTCCTACAATGAGGTGCTAAAAAATGCCCAATTGGCTAAAAACCTTATCTCGACCCACAACCAGCGCATCACCCACTTTCGTAGTAGCAATAACAATAACAGAAGAGGAGATTCCCTAATTCTGGCCCTAACTGATCAAACAAGAGACCCCGTGTTGTTCCAGCCCCTACTGCTTTGCCCCCTCCTACCAAAGACCCTATTCAGATTTCTCCCTCTTGTCAGCATTGTGGTGATGCCATGGTAACTAACCCTATCGATGCCTGAACCACTCTTGTTACAAGTGTGGGAGTATGCAGTATTAGGTGAAGGATTGCCCACAGAGACTCAAGGACCTCGTTAAACCTGTTGCCCAGGAACATGTTTACAACCTGGATGAGCCAAATGTTCCTATCACCCTGTTATCATTCAGGGTATACTTTATGTTCATGATATTACCACACGTGCTTTAATTGATACATGTGCCTCACATTCCTTTATATCTTGTAAATTTACTTGTAAATTAGACCTTGTGCCAAAACCCCTAGGAAAGCTTTAGCTGTAGAGACCCTTTAGGGGACTATTAGAAACTTTTTGTGTATATAAAAATTGTGAAGTGAGAGCCTCCGGGAGAGAAGTCACTGTAGATTTAATATTTTAGATTTTTCAGGATTTGATATCATTCTAGGTATGGACTGGCTAGAAAAATACAAAGCCATTATTGATTGTGAAACAAAAATTGTAAAACTACGTTCACCTAGGGAGTAAACTTGCCTTGTTTTGTATAAATTATGTCAAATAAATAAAAAAAGCTACTTTTCAAGAATTTTTGCTGCTTTGTTCACCTTGTGTTGGACAGGAACATGGATTTTGATCCAACAATTTCTTCAATTCCTGTTATATATAATTTCATAGATGTCTTTTTAGAGAAGTTAACAAGTCTACCTCCCGAACAAGAGATAGAGTTTTTGATTGACCTGATTTCAGGTACTCAGTCAATTTCAAAAACTCTTTATCGCATGAGCCATGTAGAACTTTCAGAATTAAAATACCAGTATTTTGAATTGCAAGAACTAAGATTCGTCCGCCCTAGTCATTCCCCTTGGGGTGCGTCTGTTTTATTTTCCAAGAAGAAAGACGGATCCTTTCGCATGTGTATCAACTAACAAACTCAATCAAGTAACCATAAAGAATAAGTACTCTCTACCCTGCATAGATGATTTGCTCGACCAGTTACAAGGTGCTTCTGTATTTTCAAATATTGACCTCCGATCTTGCTACCATCAGTTGCAAGTGAAGCAAAACGACATTCTTATTATGACTTTTTGCTACAGGTATGGCTAATTTAAGTTTAGAGTTATGCCCTTTGGACTGACCAATGCCCCCATAGCCTTTATGGACTTAATGAACAGAGTTTTTCGTCATGCACTAAATCAATACGTCGTCGTAGACATCCTAATGTACTCAAAGAGCCCGAAGGAGCATGCCGATCACATGATCAATACATCATCATAAGTTAGCTGCATGCGCGCGGCAGACTTGGACCGCATGCGGTCCATTGGGCCCCATGTCGCTAGCCTACCGTCTGCCTACCGTTGGTCTATCGCCGCCTATTGCTGCCCTACTGTTATCGCAGCCTTGAGCTCCACGCCACCGCCACCGTCACCACTATTGCTGCCGTCGTCACCTTGGGAGCCATGCTTCCCTCTGACCGATTGACACTAATGATGTCATCATTTTCCTCTCCTCATATATTTGTGACACATGTCGTAAATTTGACGATTCTCTCTCTTTATAAATAGGACCTCCTCCTCCACTCTTCCTCACTCCTTTTCACCTTCAAATACCAAATTCTAGAGAAAGAGAGAGAGAGTTAGAGAGAAAAGGTAAGTTTGAAGAGAATGAGGACTAGTTTACAAAGAGTCATCAGTATCGGTAAGGGATTCAATATTTTCTTGTACATTATAATATCCATTTTTAGAAATAAAATAAAGAAATTAATGTTGATTTTATTGCATGGTTGTGGCATGATTTTTAAAGAAAAGAATGTTAATTTTGGTGCATGGTTATGGCATGATTTTGAGAGTGTGATGAGTATTAATTATGAAGATTGTTTTAATTATGCATGCATCATGTAAAGGCTTAGCTGGTCATTTCATAAATGGATTGAAATGCAATTGATATACGAAATTACATGAAATTGTTGACACTACATGGATACATAAAACATGAATTAATCAGTTATAGTATTTCATCTACTTTTGTTGTCTTCACCCTCTCTAGAAAGACGTGAGATGACTACTTAGTGTGGATGACGACACAAAAGCGCGTCAGATATCTTAGGACCACTATGGCGAAGTACGGTCGTGGTCATAATCTTTAGGACCACAGTAGTTGGTATGGTCATAGTCATATATCGTGTTATGGTGTGGCGAGTTGCAAATCACCTATGGTGTGGTGAGCCACAAATCAGCTATGGTATAGCGAGCCGTAAATCTATTGTGGTTGAGCAAGTCGTAAGTTGCTGTTATTGTCACCACAATGATAGTTGGGAGTCCGTATTAGCTAGTAGATAAAAAGTCGTAACAAACTTCGCGCAAAGTATGGTAAAAGATTTAATAACAATTATTATCTTATTTGTTTAATTTTCTTCATTGATGCATTATTTTTATGTTATTTGATGATCTTGATATTAAATCTTTTTCTTACATCAATATATCGTTGAAAAATAGTAAGCAGAAAAAGATATTTCTTAAATGCTTTTTAAGTTTATAAAATTTCTTAGTTATGTCATTTCAATACTATATGCCTTACTCAGTTTCATGGAACTCACTGTTTTTATGTTGGGCCCTCCCAGATGATGTTGAAGAGGATGTTTGCGATGAGTTGTTCGAGTTACCCCTTGAAACTTGCCTAGATCTTATAGATCCATGATCGTTGACGAGTGCATATCTTGTTTCGCACTCTGATTAGTCCATTTACATAATGATAGAAGTGACTTTCTTTTATATCTTTTTGTATTTTGTATTTTGTTGCCACTTTTGACCTCAGTTGTATATATAATTGAGAACTCATATATTTTATATAGGATTTTGTAATGCAAAAATTTTCGCTATATATATTCTATCTAATGCACTTATATTCTGTATTGGTATCTGGCATCTTTATGTTATAATTAGTATTGGGGATGTCATAAATACATAAAGAAAGCAAATAAAAAGAGGATAAACATGTCAAAGAAAGATGAACAATATACGTAAACAGTAGAAGTAAGAAAATTTGAATTAATTCTTCCAATTTAACTTAATTAAGGTAATAATATTTATTATGAACTTTTTAGCAAATTAAAACCCAATATTTTCTTATTAACTACATTTACTTAATCAATGTGTGTGTTTCATGCATTTATTTCTCTACTAATAAATCACTACTTCTCACTTATTGAGCGAGTGAAGCTCATATCAGGAGAATTAAAAACTAGTTTCGGACTAGTGAGGGACAAGAAAGGGACCTGAGCCATATTTTAGTGAAATCTGTATCTAAGGATATTTATCCTATTTTGTTAACCCTAGTATTTTTTATTTCACATGTATAATCCTCATGATATTGTAATTTTGTTAAAATGAATTATAAGAAATAAACTAGTAATTTTTCGTAATTACTGTATGTCTCTAAATTTTAAATATTTTATTAGTTAGAATGTGGATACCGACATCCATACTCTCAATAGAGGGATTCAGGGCATCATAGTTTGAGAGGAACATCAATAACAAAATGTAAGAAGTTGCTCACAAGTAATTGAGAAAGGAGAATAGATAAAGACGAAGCTGAAAGAAAAATTCTAGAACTATGAAGTAGTGGCACTCCTTTAATTTTATCTTAGTTTTTTTTTTTTATGTAGACTAACATAAATTGGTGAATGCAAAATTTTTTCCATCACATTTAATGCAACGTGCTATTTACACATAAAAAAAAAAGACCACGTATCAATAAATTTTACATGTGACACTTGGAGTTAAATGTTTTAGATGTTAATAATAGAGATAAATTAATTTAAACATTATTTGGAACTATGGGGACTAAATTGATACAAAATTGAAATAAGGACCAAACTTAACAAAAAGAAATAGTATGGGTACTAAATTAATATTTTAGCCAAAAAATGTATCTACAAAAAAGGGCAGGAGCGTTTTATGAAATTCAAAATTCAAAATAGAAGAGGGAAGCACTAGGGCGAAAGGTTCTTAACATCTGTACAGTATAAAATTGATTTTGAAATCGTGTGCGATCAACAGAGCAGCCATGGACAAATACGAGAAGCTTGAGAAGGTAGGAGAAGGAACGTACGGCAAGGTGTACAAGGCGAAGGAGAAAGCGAGTGGACAACTGGTAGCTCTGAAGAAGACTCGACTGGAAATGGACGAGGAAGGCGTCCCTCCCACTGCCCTCCGAGAGGTTTCCCTCCTCCAGATGCTCTCCCAGTCTCTCTACGTCGTTCGCCTCCTCTGTGTCGAGCACGTTGATTCTCCTTCCAAAACCGATGGATCTCCCTCCAAGGCTAACCTCTATCTTGTATTCGAATACCTTGATACCGATCTCAAGCAATTCATCGACTCTCATCGCAAGGGAACAAACCCTAGGCCTCTCCCTCCAGCACTCATCCAGAGCTTTCTCTACCAGTTATGCAAGGGCGTTGCTCACTGTCACAGCCATGGTGTCCTTCATCGGGATCTCAAGCCCCAAAACCTGCTCCTCGACAAAGAGAAGGGCATCCTCAAGATTGCTGATCTCGGCCTCGCTCGTGCCTTCACCGTTCCTCTCAAGTCCTACACTCACGAGATCGTTACTCTCTGGTACAGGCCTCCCGAGGTGCTTCTCGGCTCTACTCACTATTCCACCGGGGTTGACATCTGGTCTGTTGGCTGCATCTTCGGTCAGTGTCATCCTCTTACTATCTAGTTTTCATCAGTTTCTACACTTTCTAATTCGATTCCACATTTCCAGCTGAAATGGCTAGAAGACAAGCTCTTTTCCCTGGGGACTCCGAGTTTCAGCAATTGCTTCACATATTCAGGTAATGCGCCTTTTTCTTTATTCCCTCCTTGATTATTTTACATATTCAGGAAACTCCGTTTCCAATCAATTAATTTCACTTCCATGATTTATATTTTCCACATTTACTATGAGTAGAGCCTAAACCTTAAAAAAATTGAATAAAATATGGAAGAAGCCCATTCAGGAACAAGAAGACTCATCACCATTTGGATTTTATCTTGATGAAAAAAAAAAAAAAAATCAATGAGAACTTAGTCCGATAAGTTTAGTGAATTTTTTTTTTATATTATAGGATTATAGGAAAAGGGCCAAAACTCATCTTTCTTTAAAAATGGAAAGAAAAAAAGCTCTCTTTTAGAAATTATAAAAAGTCTGCTATGAATATGAAAAAGAAAGAGGACTGCATACACGCATTGATTTGTTGCAATTTTGCGAACCATATGCATCAA